AATTGTCAATAGTAAGAATACAATAATCAAGTAACCAAATACGACTTTATTCCTGTCATCATCTAGGTCATTCATAAGGTAATTTTACTACAGACATTTAGACAGAGGCTGGTGCAATGATTTTTTTCAGTAATAATTGTAAAATACAAATCCAGTTCCTTTATTTCACTGGGTTTCTCATGTTTTGGGGTTTTTCCCTGTTGTTTATCAGTGGGTTTTGTTTTTGCTGTGGCACTGTGAAGTACTTGGGACTTTCTTTTGATGCCTGAGAACAGATTTCCAATTTGGAATTTGTTTATTATTCAGGTCATGATGTGCTGATGGTTAGTGCTTGTTACAGGCCAAGTTGAGAGGAAGACCCATGAGCTCTTTCTCACTTGGAAAGTTGCCAAGGCAAAAATCATTTCTCAGTTCATGCTACTAGAATTGTTTTGTCTGTACAGGTTTGCCAAACACGTGGTCATGATAAAATTACATATTTTTTCCTTGAAACTTTCCTGGTGTTAGTGGAACTTGATTGTTACAACAAAAAACATGGTCAGAGTCTTTCTTTTTTTTACTGTACCTTTGGCTTAGTTTCTTTTTCTGCTACATGGAAATTAACAGCTTGTCTAGTTGTTTTCTCTTCCATGGTCTCCTACAATAACTAAATGCAAAGTTCAGTAACCAATTAACATTTAGGTCACTGGATTGCAAGGGAATGTATAAACAAGAAAAATAGTATCACTGTATGGATTATGGCATTTTTTCAGTGGTGCTACCATGTAAGGCAATATACTTTGGGAGTCTATAAATTTAGCACAAACTTGCTATTGATACTACATTTGCAAAACAAAACCTGAATTTAATAATCTCAATTTTTATTCTATTTTTTCTCATTCTGTTTTTCCATGTAACTGTAATCTAGTAACTCTGGGTAGTGGTGATAAAGCCTACTGCAGCATGCATCATACGCATGGAACTTGAAGCAATTGGAGAAATTACCCTTAGAGCTTAGAATTAACTGTGCTAAGATGTTTCTTTTGAGCACACTTGAAATGTACTCAGAAACAATGTTTGATTTTTCTGACCAAACACGTGAGTAATTATATACTTTGAACAGTATGTTTACAAAACCACCATTCCCTTAAAGATACTTCTAAAGTGTCTGGATAGTGCTATGAACCATTACTGCTGGTGGTGTTTGTATTCACATAGTGTGTAGAAGTCCCAGCTAAAGTGAGGGCTCCTTGTACAAGGTGCTAGGTGTGAGACTTCTGGCATAAAATTATTACATCCCTTGCTCAAATACATGGGTTTGGTTTAGCAAAATTGAGGGAGAAGGATGATGGTATTTCTTTTGCAAAAGCAGAGCTGTACGAAAGGGCAGCTAGGTAAGCACGTCACAAGAAGAAATCGCTATAAACTGTGGATTTACGTAGATTTGAAATGAGAGAATGTTTCTAGTTACCAAAACATGTTGTCATTTTAGAATGAACTTTCATCAGTCTTAAAAAGGGATTATGTAATGTGGTTGATCCAAAATATTAGGAGGACTTAAACAGACAAGGAGTTTTATTCCAGCTCTATGATCTCTGCCCTTTGGAGAATGGAAATAACTGTCACCCACTTGTAACTCAGGTTTACTTGTCACACTATGAAACTGTAGTGTGAAAAAGGGACACCTGAAGCAGAAATTTCAACTTCTTAGAGTTTTGTTGCCTCATGGTCAAATCACTGCACTGGAATTGGTGGTAAGGATCATTTGGGTCAGCCTGTGTAACATCTGCTTTACCTTGTATTTCCTGTGTAATAGTAACAAATACATTTTGATTCACAGTATTTTACCAAAAATCTGATAAATTAGTTCACTTATTTTCAACTAGTTCAGCACCAAAAGCTTAATGCATATAATAACACAAGTTCAGAAGTAACAAAAAACTTAACTGATACAAATCTCATTCATGTAGAAAGGGGTAATCCTGGCCTGGCTTGGGGATATCTTGTCCAAGAAATGTGTTTCCATCTCCTTTTGCTTGGGCTGTACAGCATAAACTTTAACTGTAGCTCACTTGGAGTATAGAGGATCCATTTGCTCCCTTAGCACTTGTAGGCTCTGAATTCCATTTCTCTAGGAATAGCTACGGATGTTTGAGAAGTCTGAAGGACAGGGAGGAAAAACTCCAAAATTTGCTTGCAGAGCATTTGCTGCAGTGTTTAAATAGTGGGTGCTGATTGCTTTGCTGTGGGGAGGATTCAGGTTTATTCACAGTGTCAAATGATTCTTCTGGAGACATGTACCTCTGTAGTAGTTCTGCAAAATTGCAGCCTCATTATGTTAACTGAATGCACAATGGCATTGGTATTGTGCTGGCTTCGGCTCCTTGGTCCACAATGGGGTTGGTTTAGGATTTTTCTAGGGAGGGTTTTGGAAAATGGAGAGATTAAAAATAATTTGGGGATGAAGTTATATCTTTTCCATATAGTCTGTGCAGGAATTGGCTGTACATGATTGATAATTCTATACAGGCATTTAGGTCAGGGTGTGGGATTGATGCTTTCTTGTGAAAGCTGAGAGAATGCAAAATTCTGTCTTTTAATTTTTTTTTGTTTTTTTTTTCATCCTAATATATGAATCCTCAGAGTGCCTCTGTTCTGAGAATCTTTGACACTATGATGTACTCAGGCTGACTTTCCTTTAGGCTTCTTGTCTAAAAGTTGTGATAACCCTGATAAATCAACACAATCGTCTTTACTTACCAAACTGGGAAGTCTGTAGAAAATTCTGTCTGTGGGGAAGTTGTATAGCTGGAGTATGTGCTTCATGCTGCACTGCATGGTACTCTGATGCTTTTCTGGGCTCATAGTGCTCTCTATCTATTTCAAAGTGTTTGTTGCTGTCTGGTACTGAGTGGATTTGGAAAAGTATGCTTGTCGTGGGGCAATAGGGTAAAAGAGCAAATCCATCCTAAAATAACGGTTTAATTCTCCCACATATCTGCACAGCTGAAGCAGTCCCTTTTGTTTGCCTTCTTTTATGGCTTTTTTCCCTTGACATTTAAAAAAAAAAAAAGGATCTCTACTGATGTCTCTGTTCATTAAGTGCAAGATAAATTGTTTTCTTTTTTCATTTCCTGCCATTTCATGCTTCTGACAGGACTTTACCAGGAGAAAGGCGGGGTCAGTATTCAGTTGTTTGGGAAAAGAAGACTTAGTTACAGATATTTAAACAAGCCCAAAACAAACTGCTTAATTGGTCACAGGAGGAAAGCAAGATATCAAGGTCATCCTCTCCTTCCATCATATGGCATCCAAGTGACCCTAAACATCAGATTACTCTTTTTTTTCTCTTAGCTTGCTTCTATGTTTAGCTTTGTAGTTTCTATTAATAGCACCCAAAATGGATGCTGTGTGAGGCAGGCAAAGGTATCGTCCTGCCATGGGAGTGGAGAAGAAGAGGTTGGAGCTCAAGTGCAGTTGTTCCTTCATTGTTAGGGAACTGGTTGTGTAACGGGGAAGGATATGCAGGATGTGGGATACCCATAGGCTCTGGAATGTCTATGGAGAGGGGATCATTTTTCTGTCAAATTGCACTTAACCGTCAGAATCCTGGAATCCTTTTCTGTGTTTATGGGAAACTGTACATTTTGTATTCGGTTCTGTTTAAAAAGATTCATTTTCAGACAATGAACATGGACCCGTGAATTCTCTCTGGGTGTCAGGCTGCTTTGTGACTTCCAAACTTTTGAGTTTTCGGCTCTTTCTCACAGCTCTTTTTTGCTGACCTGCCTTCAGCAGACTAATTACTTTGTGGCCCTGAAGAGAATAATCATATTGGAAGCCATTTAACGATCTACTTCCTGCAGAATGTGCTTAAAGAGTGAATGAATTTAAATATCAGTCTCCTCTTTGGGCCTAAATGTTAATGCAGGGTGAAGAGAAGTCTCAGTGAAGTATCTGTTCTTGTGCGCCAACATGAAGTCTCACCTCAAAAAAACCCTTTAGTTAGGTGAGGGACAGCAGGCCAAGAAATGACACTTAAAGCACTTTAAAATAGCTGTCTGAGTTTTAGTATTTTCAAGTACTTGAATACCATGGCAACAAGAACTTCAATGCTTGAGATAATTGGGGACAGAATTCACAGGCTTCCCCAGGAGGAGGCAATAATCCTCTGAGAGTTTTGAAGTGGTCTGCAAATCAGAGGCCGTCCTGAGTGCTTGTTAGAGAGAATTTCTCTCCCTGGACCTGACCTTTCCAGTTACTAGCCAACAACCAGACCGCTTTGAAGTACCCCATTCCCTCTAGCAGATTCCCAGATCTGTGTGGGTTATATCCTATTGGAGTGCATTCTAATTAATGTTGCCACTTCTGTGAAAACATTTGCTGGACTACAGCAAAATCATGCTTAACTCCAGATAATATCTAAGATGTTGGGTTTTAAATTTAAAACATGAAGATCCAGTCAAGCAGCAGAGTTGAAAGTTAAACTAGCTGAGGGACCATCTTTTCATATCCAGACCATGATGAGAATCATGGGCAACCCATTCTGATCACAGAACCAGCTACATAAATGTTATTTTAGTGAGACATGCAGCTTACTGCTTGCTCTTGACAGGGATCTGACATTGTAAGTAGCAAGAAGAGCAAGGACATGCTGACATATTGAAACTGGGATTAAGTTGCATCATAATAAAAAACTTGATAAACCTGGGAGAATCTCCTCATCACTTCTCTTGCTTGAGTTGTGAGAGGCATAGCTCCTTCAGTAAGGAATAAAACATTGATTTTGGCAATTGACTGTTTTAACATGAGAATGTTTGAAGACCCTCAAGGAGTTGCTCAAGTGTAACCCCCCTTTAGGCACAGGTGACATTCCTGTCTCAAAGGTGGCAGTACTTTTGGCAGTACTGTGTCTGTGGTACATAAATTGGTTTAACATTCTGTATTCTTAAAATGGTGGCACTCATTTCTCCCATTTAGTTTTCTAAAAGACGTAATTTACTCCTTTCTTATCTTAACAGCACTTGAAAGTGCAAAGGAGGTGTTTCCCTCTACTGGTTCATCTTCACCATACCTCTCTGCTTTCTGCTTCCTCCTCGTAATCCCCAAGTGAAGATGAGTGGCATGCTGCAAATATGACGTCGCTGACTAGTGTCATTGCCTCCCACCAGTCTGAGTGGGTGTCTTTCACTGATGAGCTGCTCCTCCCTGTTAACCCACGAGGTAAGCTATCTCTGATGTTCTTGAAACCTTGTGAGACTGTCTGAATTAGACCAACTGTTGTCATACGGCAACAACAGCATCACAGAACTTGCCTTCTACTTGGAAGCAGTATGTGCAGAGGTTGAAGTATGTCCTGATACCCCTATGTAATAGGACAATTTGGGCCAAAAATGTAAAATACTCTCCTAATGTGAGATCAGCTTAGCATAGATCTGTTACGGAATTTGGATCTGTCCTTCGAGATTCAAGGCAGCATCCAACTGACCATGGAGGAAGTCTCACCTATTATAATCAAGTGCAAAACTATGCCTGGTGTTAGTCTAAAAACTGCATTAGGTGAAGGAAAATTGTCTACCTACATTTAATGGCAAATTTTAGATATTTCAATTAAAAAAACCCAGTGAAGTAATGGTGAGTCCTACTAACCTTTCTATTTTGTCTCTATTTTAGGTAGCACTGAGGAGCCTCTGGAGAAATGTTTTTCTTCCTCAGATACCTCCTCAGAAGAGAACCACAATGCAGATGGAGAATTTCAAGACCTCTCTCACACAGAGCTGGAAGATGCAGCTGACCAACCCAAGGTGGCTTCTGCTGTGCTTGGGAACCCTGTGTGTTCCAGCACTGATCTGTCATCATCCATCAGTGCTTGGGTTCAGTTTGAGGATGCACCATGGACCAGTGCTCCATCAACCCACCCCCAAGCAGGTGAAGCAAATGCATGAAAAGGTCCATTACAGTAGCATAACAGAATATAGTGAGAGCCTACAGGAATTCTTCCTTGCTCTTTGATTACTCAAAGGTTGAACACTGTATTTTAACATAATTGATGTTATCAGAGTTTCAAAAAGAGCTTATAATTCCATTCTGGGGTGAACTAGTGGTATTTTGGTTTTGTAAAGAAAATTAAAGGCTTCTGTTTATTTGGTGGTTATTCTTAGTTGTAAATACTTCCTGATCCTTGTGATGAGGAAAGAAGGAAGAGCACCCCTAACTGTAAATCTGTAAAACTGGGGTGCTTTACCTCTCTATTATTTAATTTCATGGTTAAGTGATCCTTACTTATACAGCCATATAATTTTTCAAACAGAGCTGTTGGTTGCTCTGACACTGTATTTCCTTCCTAATATTGCGATGTCCTTGTTGACTGGAAAACACTTCAGTGTACCTTCTTATTAAACAAACAAAAAAATTCTTTGCTAAATAAAGCTAGCCATAACAAAGAGCTAGCCATAAAACTAATTTAATGGTGTATTACTTAATTTCTTATCCTTAAAGGGATGTGGCCAAGTCTTAAGGTACATGCCTAGCAAAAGCACTGCCTCTTGGTTTGTGTTTTCAGTCAACAGGGGACACTGGGTTATAGGCAGAGATCTAGGTTATCCAAAAGAGGTGATCAGAGAAGACTTTGCAAAAGCATTGTGTTTTTGAAGGCGGCACCCATTTGTGCTCCTGTAAAGACTTGTCCTGAGTGATCCTTGGCACTGGGGGGGGTATTTACAGACTAAATTTTAACATCTGACCAAGATTCACGGAGGAGGACGGTTCCCCTGGCAGTTAGATCAGGAGGTACTCTATATAATCCTTGCATGGGAGACTGTTATTCTTTAACTATATAGGAAAGGAACCCTAAGGAGGTGTTGTGGATGTTACAAATCCTTATTTATGAGCTAGTCCAACTCCTATTCTGGACCCTGTATTATAAATGACCAGACCAGTGCAGCTGACAGCCTCTAAAGAGAAGGTCGTAGGGCAGAAGAGGTGACAGCTCCTTTGTCTCTGACCCTCTATTCTGTGGGACTTTTGACAGCAAAAGGTAGGATAAACTCCAGCCTTGTTGTTCTCAATTAATCTGCAGGTCACGTCTTTTTTCTATGGGCAGCAGCAAAGCTGGAGACTTTGTGTTATAAGCACGATACGCTGACACGCTCAGTGGAAAGCCTGTGGTGACAGCAATTATTCATTTCCAGTAGCAAACAGCCTGCATAAGAACAATAGCAAATAGCCAGATGGGGGGGGAAGGACTGCAAAGGCCAAGCATAGACAGACGGATCCGCGTGAGAAGGATAGAGATGTTTGAAATCTGTTTCCTGTGCAGGCAGCTGTGAAGAGCAACGTCCTGAAGGCTCATCACCCCCGGCCGTGTTCCTGACAGGGCTCCAGCGCTGTTAGGAAATCATCTGTCTGTCCACGCTGAAGCAGCTGCACAGCTGACTAGATAATTACCCAGACTGATGGCCAGGCTGCCTGGAAACACATTTTGAAAAGGGCTTGCAAAGTGGCATTTCCAGAGTGCCATGAAAGCGGAGAGTATAGGTCCTAGGAGAGAGAGATGCTATCTTACTCTGACCTTAGGGCTACAGTATTTTTCCACACGTTCCCCCAAAAGCAAATCTTTGTCCTAGAGCACTCACAGTCTAACAAAAGACAGCTGCCGTGTAATGGTTATTCTATAGGAAATACATTTAAGAAAAACCAAGGCTAGTGCTGGACCCTTTTTGTCCTGGGAAAAATGAAGACATTATTGGGGGACTGATGGCAAGAAACAGGGCTGAAAGCACAGGCAAAGAATTCAGAAGGTGAGAAGAAAGATCAAAACCTGAAGTACAGGAATGAAAAGCACCTATTGTGAGCCTCATAGTGGAAATTATCTTTATTTAGGACATTCTTGTAAACACTTCATTCTACCAGGTTCAGGCAGAGTAAATGCTTGGCGAAATCTTTCTTTCAAAATAATTGTGCTTTTCAGGTTTGTGCATAGATTTCTCCTTGGGAAGCAGTAACTCTTGAGCAAGGCCACAGAAATATTTAGTCACAGAAATGATGCATTGTGGTGCCTACTTCCCCATTTTCCTTTTGCTGGGAAAAGAAGAAACTTGATTTTTCTCATAGTTACTATCAGGCTACTCAAACTGATACTGCAAAAGTGAAAAACGAGATTTTTAGGCTCACCCAAATGTTCCTATCACAAATGTTACATAATCTGCAAATGATCACAGCCAGACGGTGACACAACATTTGCATTTGTTACACAGCGGGCCTCCAGCTCGCAATCTCATATTCTATTGGTGTTAGCTGCACTCTCTCAATAAGGTATTCAGCAAAGCACCAAAATTAGAGCAAAGCAAGATCTGTTACATCATCTGTTCCACCCCCC